TGGGGAGGGTTTGCTGCGAAGATGCAGTAATGGAGATCTGACATGTAGAGTTACTGGCTAAAGGCCAGCAGACACACTGGCCACGTGGATGTGGTCATTCCTTCCCAGCTTTGACACAGTTTCACCAGGGGAAAAAAGAAAATTAAATGTGCCATAATAATCGGAAAAAATTAAAATGCTACCATATTACAGCCAAAGAGATAGGGCATGGGGGTGCTTCTGAAGAGCAATTAAAATACAGCACTTCCACCATGCTCATTTCCCACCACCGATACACGAGACAGAAGTTGGCCTAATCCAGGCTGTTCCCATGGCTGGCACCTCATGTTACTTAAGCTCATGAAGGAGCAGTAACTACCCGTATGGAAAACCAACCAGGCATAAAAGCTCCTCACCTACCCTTCACTGCAATTAATTATGATGCAAATACTAATTTTCTTTTACTAATTCATCAAGAAAACCTGTGAATCTGAAAGTTATGAATGGCTTTACATGAAATTAAATTGCCTGACCATGGTATAACTCTTTATGCCATTTCTAGCCTGCTCTTAAAGCAAAGGAAAAAAAAAAATCCCTGTAATCAATGTCTGCAGAAATGTTCACTTGTCCCATGTGCCTGGTGATGTTTTGTTAAAAAATCATACAATTAGGAGCCTAAAAGATGTAGGAATATGCATTTGAAGATCTTCTATGATTTTCATGGCATATCCAAGTGTCTGTACATGTTATTAGCAGGGTTTTTCAGTGCATGCTATTAACCCAGTTGCCTTCTTTCTGGTATCGGTTATACAAATCTGCACTTAGCTATACAGCAGAATAATTTGCTGTGTGGTGCTCCTGTGATAAGGATAAGAGGATTTTTTTTATCATCATTACGGACGGTAATAATTCCTAGAGTGATACAGCGATATTGATCCACTGATCTAAAAAAAGCATTTTACAAAGGTAGAGGAGCATCATCCTTATTTTAAGGAACGGGGTAACGGAAGATGATGAGACCAACTCACGGTCAATACAGCACATCAGTGGCACAGCTACAAATCAAACGTGGGTATTTCTGGTTATTTTTGCACACTTCAGCTATCACTGCATGTCTGTCTGTGTTGGCATCTGTGGTCATGTAGACATTACATAGCGCTAGAAGTCAGGAGGTCTGAAAGTTTCCTTAAGCCGTTTACAATAAGTGATTTAAAATCTTAATCATCTGAGGCAGTTCACTTCTGCTTTTTCATGATAATGAAGCTTAGCACATGATATCACAATCATGAATTTTTGTAAAGCATACTTAGCTCTTCAGAAAAAGTGCTGGATTAAACAACCCTGCAGGCTGAATCCTTCTCTTTGAATAATGAATATAGTACAGACAGTGGCAAGCTGCTTTAGATAGTCCCATGAACCCTGCTAAAGCGGAGGCCAGCCTCCACGTCTGTTGAGTCCCTGGTTTCTTTATCTCTACAGCCAACAGGGTATTTTCATTTTTTAATACTTTTCACAGCTAGGAATTACTCTTTGCCAGCCAACTAATTTCACAAGGACTATCCCAGAGCCTTCGGAAGGCAATGCCTTTTGGTTGCTGCCCATTTTTTGTAGGTGGCCGGAATATAACAAGTTACAGATTTAAACAACAATTATTTCTTAGATGCAGGAGCAAACAACGGTAGGGGAAAAAATGACTCAAGGAAAAAAAAAAATCTCAGTTTCTTTAAAATATACTGCTCCACCACTGGAGCTTGGTATCATTATTTTAGTTTCGTTTTACAGATGAGTTTCAAAGAGCTGACAATAGGAATTTGGAGTGGAAATGCTGATGGTCCATTATCAGTAGTGACAGCAATGGGTGCGACTTTATTAAAGTTCTGTCAACTCTTGGCTAGAAACTACAACAGAAACAACCAGTTCAATCTCTCTCCCTCTCTCTTTATCTTAGCACTTATATCACACTCATCACCAAGTGTTACATTTTCCCTTGATGCCACAAGACGGGATTTCTCCTTGCTACTGGAGCCACGTGGTACGCTACACCCCTACATCCTGCCTATCTGTGGGCTGACAGCAGACCATTATCGTACTAGTGGGAAGGTTGCTGTCGTAATGTAGACGTGGCCTAAAAGTCAGCTGAAAGCTTTTTACTCTTTATTAAGAAAAAAAAAATAGCAGTACAAACCAAGACTCTTCTACTGAGCAGTGTAACCTGCAGCTATTTCTTGCAACTATCTGCTGATAATAAAGATTATTTCACTGAAACTTTTAAGAAAGCTTGAAAATTGGCATAAATACCAATGAATATACTTTTCAAGCTCTTTTCTGCTGAGATACCATCATGTGCGCTTGTTATGCAATTGGAAAGAGATGCCAGAGTTTATTGAACCATATTTCCATCTCACTGCTGTGAGCACTATGAGCTCCCCAAGGCTCTGGCATGGTGCGGACAGTGCTTTCCTAAGACAGCGACTATTTTTCCTTCACCACTCTGTGTCTGGGAGGGAGGCACATCCGGATGGGTGCAGGGAAAACAAATACTGTTTGTGGGAAAGGGAACTCGCCTCTTGGAAACAACAGCATGAATTAAAACTCGTTAAATATTGGAACTTGTTACAAAAATTGAACTGTCTAAATTCTCCCTCTTGCTTTAGTGAAGCAACTTTTCACCCTGAGTTTTTTTAGCCAAGCTCCCTCCACTGCAAATCTCCCTTAGCACTTTTCATTTCGACTGCAATACCAACCATTTTCCCAACACTCTGCCTTCTCTCATGGCGTGGTGGTTTTGTGAAGCTGATAAACATCTGCCTGAAAACCTGGTTGGCACAGCAGAACTCATTTTCAAGTGTGAACATGGGTGTGTAGAAAGCAATTCAAGTTTAACAAGGCATGATGCATGAGGGCATGATAGAATATCAGTCGTGATTGTGACCGAAATAAACCCGAGTGGCAGAGAGGATACAGCTCAGCTCTGCTATGACTACTGGTGTGTGACCTACCTGGACTGAGATCTTCAGGCTCCAGCAGGAGAGAGAAGCACATTAACTCTACGGCTCTCCTGGCCGGCAGACGACACTGCTCTGCCTGATACGTTGGTGACATGGCTTAAAAATCTCAGCTTCTGATTACCGTGAGATTGCTATTTATGGCAGAACAAAACTACCTCACCACCCTTACTTACCCTGTTGGATTTCATAACTAGCTTTTCTATGCTCGTACTATGCCCAATGTCTGTTGAATAAAAGCAAGTACACAGTGGGAGTTCTATGGATCCCAGGAAAGATCCATTTCTTTGTTGGGTGATGTTGAGGAGTCAGTTAAATCTTTCTGGGGATCAAAACATCTCATGCCTAGACCCTGTTATTTCAGCAGTTACTTGGCTCCTTTCCCACTTGTGTCTGTCCCTTCCCTGTGCTACTTACAAAGTGAAATCAGTGACAATCAGAACTACTTGTTTTGCCTCAGTATCAGGTCTAGACAGATAATGACAGCACCCGACTCCACCAGTTAGCATTCATTACTGACCTGCAGGAACCCACCTCAGAGCTTTCCCTTAGCCTACCCCAAGGCAAAAGCCACGATCCTGAGGCTCTCCTTGCCTGAAGGGACTGCTGCATCCCAGCCCCCAAAGTTTAGGGATTGCAGATTAAGCATGCATAGACGTAAGTGTGGCATTTTCTGGGGGCTCCCTATTTATTTTCAGAGTGTCTTTTCAACAAGTCCTTATTATTCAGAAGCAGTATACTAAGTGCTTTTAAGCAGCGCCATGACATACAGGAATACCTTCAACTTCCCCTACCGAAATTTATTGGCATTTTAAAGAAGCTAGGCCGCACACAAATCAAAAAACCCCATGCACAAATTGTTGCACAAAATACTGCGGATCCTGTAGCCTACTGAAAACAAGTTGATCCAAAAGTAAAGAAAGGTATCTATATCTACACATATATCTATACCAAAATGGGTACTATTCTTTTTTCTGTGCCTTTGGAAAATGTAATAAAATGCATAAACTGTGCTATGTTTGGTTTTTTTTTTTCTATAGAAACAGAAGGGATGTTTTCAGGGCTCCACACTTAAAATTACTTTACTCCCCGTGCCATTAAATGGCCATGGTTAGTACCACAGCATCCTTCCCCACTGACAGACGGGACTATCGCTATTTTCTTTTCCACTCAGCACCACCAGGCACTGACTTTTTGAGAAGGCTCACGCTCTGAGAATAATTTCAGACTACGGAGTTAACATGCAGCCTGGGTCATCAATATACATTTATTTTTTTCTTTTCAATATGTCTGCAGAGGGCCTTTCCCCAAAAGGCACTTTTGCACTCAAAAGGGATCACCAGCTACTGAAGTCTGTGCTGCACTTTATTTCCAAAGTTCAGGTCAGCTGCTTGACCGCTTTCGGCGGTGCTGCTTAACACCTCTGCCCTGGTTTTTGGGTTGTGATAGAGGCACAAGATTTAAAAGCTCTTTTTACAAAGTTTGGTCCAGGCAAAGCTCTCAGGTTCAAGCTAACCTCTGTTTCTGAGTTACAGCAGACCTATGTTTTGCATATAGTTATAGAAAACACAGGAATGGAGGAGATAGATAGTGCTACGACGTGGGCCAGTTCCCATGACCCTATATGCCTTCAAGCAGTCATTTACAGTCCTTTCTTTTTTGGTTTTTTTTTTTTTTTTTTGGCCTTATGCTACAAAGCAGAAAGGGGTCAGGGAAGGATCTTTGATTTTGTGAGAGCAGAAACTGAGGGTGTTTTCTCAGGGTGCAAAGGAACCTTTCCAGCTGACAAACAGGGCGATAACACAAGTTAATATGTTGGCACCGAGACCTTTCTGACACTGGAAATAAAAGGTGATAATTTCAGTCACTGTGAAAAGTTCATGCGGATACCTTCATCACGTGGGACGTATTACGGCGTAACCTCTAGCTGCAGACAGCGGCTCTGCCTACCCTGGCTGTGACATATAGCTCCCAATTAGCACTTAAGGAAAGAGACTTTACAGACTGCACACTCACCTCTGCTCAGCCCATCCGGTCCCCGAAGGATTCGGCATTCTTCTATCTGGCCGAACGGAGAAAACATCACCCTGATATCATTCTCATTACACTTCTTCGAAACCATTCCTATGAACAATTTTCTGTCTTCCACAGCTAGAAGATAAAAATAATGAATGAGCAAAGGCCATTTCATCTTTTTCCTGTGATCAATGCTTCATTACCACATCAAACCAAGCTCCAGTCATGTGAGTCTGGCTCTGTAACTGAAGACAAGTCCTAAGGCAAACACTTTATACTTACAACCTCCCTTCCCCCCCTCCTCCCCCACCCCAAACTCTCATTTTTCTTTCTCTCTCTCCTTTTTCTAGTGGCGCTTGCTGTTTATATAACATATTAATTGGCTGCCTTAGTCATTCTGCGTATGCCTCCCCATCAACAGCTTCTAAGAGAAAAGCATCCTCTGTTAGAGAGACTTTTGAAGATATCTTTGCATAGATTTTAATTCAGATAGATAAATTCCCTCACCTCCCTCATGTATGAAAGAAATCATGACAGGGGTGAGGTTGAAGAAGGGATTGTGCACGTAATGATATGAGCTAATGAAAAATATTCCTGAGGAATGTTTTGAGAGAGCGGCTCCTATCTGAGCTTTCAATTTCAGGCAACGTAATGCATGGCACTGGAAAGGCAGATGTGTAACAACTGCTCTGGAAAAAGAATGCATTAAATTTTCCTGCTTTTTTTCAGACTGACACAGCCCTCTCCCCTCCAAGAGGACACAAGGCATATATTCCAGGGCATCACTTTAACAAGGAGGCTGCATAATGCTTTCCCAGAGTCAATCCCTTTGATTCGTAATGATGCTGAGTTTGCAAAAAAACCCCATGAAAAAGGTGCTTTACCTGAATTATTGGTAGAATATTTCCTGCCTGCATTGTCACCAAAATCAGCAAAAGCTGGACTGCTGCAGGAGGACGCATGCAGTCCTGTTAATCAAACTCAAATTTACAGGACTAAAGCTGTGGACTCTTGTCAAAAATGACATAGGTCATCAAACTTAATTCACCCTGGAAAGGCTAAAAAATGTTAACGCATCCTCCCATCTACGTTAAACCAAAAATCTAAGTGCTTATTATACAGTATATACCCCAGTGCTTTCTTCTTCCCTTGAAATGGCATGTAAATCCAATGCACTGTTAATGAGCAGACTGTCAGAGATTGTGGGGAAGCAAAGAGAGAAGGGAAGCTTTACTCCAGAGAGTTCTGCAGTGCACTTACTTATTTCTATTATTGTGCAAATTATTTTTGTAATGAAGTATTTTCATTTCTGGGCTTACAAAAAAAAAAGAATCTTCCCTTGCTCCCCAAGTCTCTCTCCTGTATTACTGTGAGTTTGTCAAATGGAATAAATTGCAGCCGAGGAAGAAGAAACTGCGTCTATTTTCATAGGATTTTATTTGTGTTATACTTCAACACTTTAAGTGCATTTAATAATTTCAACAATAAAAAGAAGAGCTTCATGTTTATTGATCACAAGAGGTGTTTGAAGTAATTTTTTCCTTAGAATTGCTGACTTTAAAAAGCATTTGTAGCTTTTATACAAGCAACCACCAAGACGATGCATTTTTCAGAATCCAAAACAGAGACCAGCCTCTACAACCCCAGCTTCTCACTGTACAAGCTTGCAAGAAAATTGGCGTGAATTTAACAGCCAGGAGAAGTTGTCTTCCTCAGCAGAGGTTCCTCAAGACTCAATGTTTTCATTGATGCTTTATACTGAGGTTCCACAGGCAGGTTAACCATCCAGAAAGGGTTAACAAAGGATGGATGCCCGGGATGAGCCACTTACATACAGATCAGGAGCTGAATATGCGGGATTGCAATTAAGAACTGCAAGTTGGGATGTTTATTTATTTATTTATGGCTTACAATGAAACTTGACATCCGATTCATAATATATAATTGGCCTTGATGCCAGTAATAATTATTTTAAGGGTGGTGAAACTAAATTGTCTTGCTCACAGCCACAAGGAGAGTCTGCGTAATCACCTTTGCTGGGGAAAGGATGCCTGCAACTCGGCTGCTTAAAATTCCTGTATTGCCTTGACTAATTTCTTTGAGGAAGGTCCCGGCCAGCCTGTCCCCTTGACAACAGCCACACACTCTGCTCAGGGTGCAGGAAAGGGTGTGAGGCAAGGGACCGAGCTGGGCTGCCAGGGATGGGTTTCTCCAGACCACAAAATGAAGTCAGGCTGGGAGAAGCCTCAGGGCCAAGCATGGGTCTGAGCATCGCCTCCTGCTCTGTGTTATGAACCCCTTAACTTCTGCCTGTGTGCCAGCTAAACCGGTTTAAATTTGGGTTGATTTTAGGCTTGAAATACAGTGCAGGTCGACCCTAAGTATGACTAGATCCCAACCTCCTCTTAAAAATAGCTGCTGGCTGAGGTGGACAAATTCCTGCCACATCATCCCAAAGGAGGTCCCCTGGGTCCTGCTTAGGTGCCAGGACAAAGACTCCAACCAAAGATGTTCACACGGAGATTCAAAAGAAATGAGCTGCAAACGGGAAGGCTTTGTTTTAATTTTCCAAGAGCAGCAGACGACAAACTCCCCACCGGCCTCCTTCAGTTTCACTAGTAAACCTATAAATATGCCATTTAACTAACATGATTTGCAGGTTTTCGGCTTGAGGGTGATTTTATAGTAAATTAAACATCCAGCTCCCGTGTACTGTACATCTTAAAAATGCAGATTTCACGAAGAATGCTCACGGTACAGAAAACATATTGATATAATGACGTGCTCTGAATTCAGCGCTATTAGTCAGTGCTGATCAGTGTTGAAGCTTAAGAAAATTGCTATTCTTTTTTTGGCTAGGGGCCCAGCATAAAAAACATTTAAAAGGACAACTGTCAGGATCAAAATGACATGTTTTCACTCCATCTGATAGAACATCTGATATTATTAAGCTGAAAGAGTTTTTAATTGTATATTCTCATGCAGAGAAAAGAATGCTTTTTCACCTCCGTTAAGACTGGCTGTCTGGATTTGTTTCTGCATTTCTGGTCAGCCCCTTCTTTCTTTCTTTCTAAAATGAATACCTACCTGCCAAGCAGGCATGGTTTGAGAATCAAATGGACTGCAAGAAGCATGGGTCAAACGTATTTAGAGGTTAGCAACTTTCCCTTTCGATCAGCCAAGCCCGCTCATTTGCCTGTGCGTGTTGGGTAGCTCCCAGAGACTGTAAAATGAGGAGCCCAACGTTAAACATGTGCGACCCAACAAAGCGTCGAGATGGGGAAAGGTGCTACCTGCTGCTGTTTGGTGAAAGGATGGCGGTCTAAAGCCATCTTGCCTAACTTGGTCATCTACAGTTTAGATGTCCAGTCTTAATCTCAGCTAAAATGTTATCGATTGGCTATGGCCAATGCCAAGAGATCAGCTCCACCAAAGACTGACTGATGTCACCTCTCCCAGCAAGACGGGATGACCTGTTTAATGAGTCTCTCCCCTGCTACTGACAATTGATAGGGCTGGTACCTTTTAGGCAACTCCCAAAACTTGCTCATCATGACAACACGTAGATGTCCTGAGCTCCAGCTGCAGGGGCAGAAGGAATAAGTGAGCTCTGAGGGACTGAACGAAGCTTTGGAGCTGGGAGTGCTTTGGGCAATGAGAGCAGGCAAAGGAGAAGGCTGGGGGAAAGATAACAGGGCACAAGGGTCAGCACTTGTGTGCACATATCTCAGAAGTTTTCATGGCTGCTTGATCTTTCTCTCTCCCACACTAGGGGTACGTTTCAATAATTCAAAATCCGGAAAATTAGTGAATTTTTTTTTGGGGGACCGTTTGATATCATTATTCCTGAACCTTGCTCATAGGCCTAGTAGTACCTTCTGGCTGTTCTGTACCACTCTGGAAGCCTTAAGTAGATACAACCATCCATAAGCAGCTAGTAGGTCGAGGTGGCTGAATACCCCTCATTGATGGAGTAGAAGAAGCCAGAAGGTCACAGTGAACAAGGCCTCAAGTTCTGCTTAGATGAAGGAAGATATGAAACTTCACAGCATCTTGATTAAGCAATTATGAGATTCACCTCTAATCCATCCAAACGTATTACAAACACAAGTCAGCTATGTTTCCTGGACAGTTAGTGCAACACATCCAGTGCTAAGCCTGCTGGATTTGGGGTGGGAATCCTTTGACCAAATGCAGGAACCCTGCCTCACAAATTGAAGATACCTGTTTTAAGACGAGATGTGTTGTCCTCGTAACTCCGTCAAGACTAGCTCTGCAACCACTAGCACGGGTGCCTAGGCATCGTGTTTGAAGCCGGAGAGCTACGTTAGCCGTCAAAAGTTAGCTGAGATGAAGTCTGCCTCTGCTGTGGGAACTTCCTTCAAACCAGACCCTACTGCCTTCTGACAGCCCTACAGCCAACTTGCAGAATAAAATCCTGAAGGGTCTAATTTTTTAACTTTACTTAATTTGCTTCAGTAATGAGCATTTCTTGCAGGCTGTATTAGATAGCTTGTGCTAACCCAGGAGAATAAAGGAATAGAGATTATTTTCTGTACACTATAAAATAATTAAACCCTATAACAATGATGGGAAATCTCCCTGAAGATTCAAACTTTTCTTTCTTCTAAATCCCAAAAATTCTGTACTGAAGAATCAGTTATGTCCCTTTATTATGCATTTTTGAAGAGTCCAGTCAGTGAAACTGCATCTTCCATCCAGAAGTTGCCTTCTCTTTTGAGCAAATTAAGAAATAGTTAATTATGTATAAATGGTTTTTTTTTGTTGCTGTTTATTTCTCATCCAGAAGGGAAGGAGGGGGGGAAACAGACTTTTTATTCCTGTTTGTAAGCCTGTGAAAAGCCCTTGCATACAATCTGTCAAAATCACACCTGGATCCAGAGCTGCCTGCATTAATTATCAACTTTCCTATGTGTTAGTGCTAACATATGGCATTTAGTTACTCCCTCCAAATTGGCAAATTTGTGCCACCTGGAATTTCAAAATTATTTCTTCAAGTTTTCACTAATAAAATAAATAAACATAAATTATAAAATCACTCAGGTA